TTTGGTACTAAATCCTCCAATATTCAAAAGCTACATTTGATCCTTATTAATCCAAAGTTAAATCACGTTGAATTCAATGACCCATCTCACACGTTCCTTTGTTGTCTTTTTTTTTTTTTTTCTGTTTTCTTTGGTACTAAATCCTCCAATATTCAAAAGCTACATTTGATCCTTATTAATCCAAAGTTAAATCACGTTGAATTCAATAAAGGAAGCTCTCCTAATGTCTATCTCACAGGACTTGAACTCTTTGTTGTCAAACATAAGTCCTCACGTCGTACAAAGGAGTCCCAGCAATAACTAGCTGTAGCAGTTCTTAGTCCCCACCATTCCAGACATTTAGCCAAGATTGATGAAGCAACTGAGCAGTGTAAAAATAATAGATAAAATAGTAGAATTCGATTGGAGAAAATTTTGAAATCAAATTAATTATTATTATTATTTTGATTGAAAATGATTTGCAAATTTTGAAAGTTACGATAGCTATAATAGATGAAATAGTAGAAATCGTTGGAGAAAAGTAACATAGAATAAAGTCAAAAATTGGGCAACACGTGAGCTAAAATAGAAAGAAAATTGGCCGAGGAAAGAGAATCAAAGAAGACATAATTAGAAGGAAAAAATTTACTTAAAAACCTATTAAAACCTCGAATATTTTGAATTAGGAATGCTATATATGTGCACTCGGTATAAGGTCAAGTACACAAGCACTTCCCATCTTATTGGTCCTTTTAATTTTTAAGTTCTATTTTTTAGCTCTTTAAAAAAATAAAAATTATACCAGACCAATCATGGACCAAGTGCAATCTGCACTCGGGCAATTTGCCAGTGCAAATAGTCTCTTTTGAAATTAAGGGGATAAGGGGTAATTAGCTATCTTAATTTACCTTAATTTATATTAAACGTCGAAATATGTCTTCGTGCTTTTGGTTATTTTTTTAGTAGATTCTTTCCGATCTTCAGAAGTCATAAAATCGAAGTAATCTCTAAATCAGAAAGCAGCAATGCCTGTTGTTATTTTCTTC